TCTGACCATGTACTGCTAGAGAGGTTAGAAACATGAAGCAGTACAAAGCACAAAACATATAGCTGTCTACAGCTGCTGTTCTAGTTGTCACTGATGTTCTAGTAAACATAGAAACTGGAGTGCTAACATTTTCTATAGCTCAGATGGAAACTCCAACTCCAGCCTTCAGAGATATTGGTGATGTAGCTACCTTTGAGGCTTTGTTTTGCTTTGTTTTTAAGTTGACTAACTTGGGAACATCTGCGGGGATGGACAAATGCACTTGAAAAAGGGAGGCAGAGCTACTGGTCTATTGGTACAAGCCCCAAATTTGGCCCTGAATTAACCTGAGTGTAAGCATAGGCTCATGTGAATATAACAGTTGAATCTCCTCCTTTAATATTGATACAATTGTTGGAGCTGTCTCTACTCATAAACACCAAATAAACAGAGAAACAACTGCATGAGGCTCAAACACCCAGTAGTGTCTCTGGGGAAGAGGCAGTTTTTAACTGTTCTACTGTGCTCAGATGCATGCCCAGTTGGTTTTTCAGTTCTGCTGTCTGGCCTGCCAGAAACTTTCTTCTGTAACTTCGTTTAAAAAATCTAGCTCAGGACTCAGAAGTTTTGCTGCAAGGGTGGCTGGAGCCATGGATAGTAGGCAGTCAAGAGTGTCTTGCAAGCTCATCATCATGGAATCATCAACAATTGGGGTTGGAAGGGACCTCAGGAGGTCATCTAGTCCAACCTCCTGCTCAAAGCAGGACCATCCCCAACTAGATCATCCCAGCAAAAGCTTTGTTTAGCTGGGTCTCCTTGGGTCTCCAAGGATGGAGATCCCACCACCTCTCTGGGTAACTGTTCCAGGGTTTTACTGTTTCTCCTAGTGAGAAAATTCTTCATAATATCTAACCTAAACTTCCCTTGCTGCAACTTGAGACCATTGCTCCTTGTTCTGTCATCTGCCACCACTGGGAACAGTCTAGCTCAATCCTCTTTTGAATCCCTCTTCAAGTAGGTGAGGGCTTCTATTAAATCCCCTTTCAGTCTCCTGTTCTCTAGACTAAATAAGCCCAGTTCCCTCAGCCTGTCCTCATAAGTCATGTGCCCCAGCCTCCTCCTCATTTGTATTGCCCTCTGCTGGACTCTCTCCAATTTGTTCACATCCTTTCTGTAGTGAGGGGCCCAAAACTGAACACAGTACTCCAGATGTGGCCTCACCAGTGCTGAACAGAGGGGAATAATCACTTCCCTTGATCTGCTAGCCACAATCCTGCTGATGCAGCCCAGTATACCATTAGCTTTCTTTGCAACAAGGGCACACTGTTGGCTCCTATTCAGCTTATTGTCCACTGTAACCCCCAGGTCCTTTTCTACAGAGCTGCTGCCCAGCCAGCCAGCCCCCAACCTGTACTGGTGCATGCGATTGTTCTGTCCTAAATGCAGGACTTTGCACTTGTCCTTGTTGTACCTCATGAGATTTCATTTGGCCAGTCTTCCAATTTGTCTAGGTTGCTGTGAATCCTAGCCCTCCCCTCCAGTGTATCTACTAGTCCCCCTAGCTTGGTGTCATCTGCAAACTTGCTGATGGTGCACTCTATGCCATCTTTCAAGTCGTTGATGAAGACATTGAACAAAACCGGCCCCAGGACTGACCCTGGGACACTCCACTTGATACCGGTTGCCAACTAGACATCAAGCCATTGATAACTACCATCTGAACCCAATGCTCTATCCAGTTTGCTATCCACCTTACAGTCCATTCATCCAGCCTGTACTTTAAAGTACAGCCAGCTCTCCTGGACTCCTCTCCCCCTCAGACTGGCTTTTCAAGGGATCCTGCCCTTGAGTTCCCCCAGCAAGTTGAAGTCTGCTTTTCTGGGTCCTTAGTCTGCTGCTCTCCATCCTTCCTTTTCTCAGGATCCTGAACTCAATCATCTCGTGGTTACTGTTGCCCAAGTTGCCATCCACTACTACATCCCCCCACCAATTCTACCCTGTTCGTAAGCAGCAGGTCAAGAAAAGTATGGCCCCTAGTTGGCCACTCCAGCACTTGCACCAGGAAGTTGTCCCCAACACTCTCCAGAAACTTCCTAGATTGCCTGTACCCTGCTGTATTACCCTCTCAGCAGATGATTGAAGTCCCCTGTGAGAACCAGGGCTTGTGATTGGGAAACTTCCACTAGCTATTTGCAGAAAGCCTCATCTACCACTTCCTCCTGGTCTGGTGGTCTATGGCAGACACCCACCACAACATCACTCTTGTTGCTCTCCCCTCTAACCTTAACCCAGAGACTTTCAACAGACCTATCTACCTTTTCATACTGGAGCTCAGAACAATCGTATGGTTCTTTTACATAAAGTGCAACTCCTCCTCCTCCTCCTCCTCTTCTTCCCTGCCTGTTCTTCCTGAACAGTTTAAACTCAGCTACGACAGTACTCCAGTTATGCAAGCTGTCCCACCAAGTTTCTGTTATTCCAGTCATGTCACAGTGTCGTGACTGTGCAAGGACTTGCAGTTCTTCCTGCTTGTTTCCCAGGCTCAATGCATTTGTGTACAGGCACCTGAGGTAGCTAGTCGATTGCCCTGATTTCTCAGGAAGTATGAGAACACCTCCCCTATTGCCCTGTCCTACTCGCTTTTCCTCTAGGTTTCCCACTTTCCCATTTACCTCAGGGCTTTGGTCTCTGTCACCCAGTGAACTCAGTTTTAAAGCCCTCCTCACTAGGTTAGTGAGCCTATCTGCAAAGATGCTGTTTCCTCTCTTCATCAGTTGGATCCCATCTCTTCCTAGAAATCCTTCTTGGAACAACATCCCATGGTTGAAGAAGCCTGTATCCCTGCTGGAAACACCACCTGCGCAGCCAGGTATTGATCCGCAGGATGCACCTGTTCATGCCTGCCTGGCCCCATCCCTTGCCTAGAAGGATCGAAGAGAACGTGACCTGAGCCCCAGACCCCTTCACCTTTGCACCCAGAGCCCTGTAGTCACTTTTGATCCACTCAGGGTATCCCCTGGCAGTATCATTTGTGCCCACATGGATGAGCAGCATGGGGTAGTAGTCACAGGGCTGGATGAGTCTTGGTAATCCCTACATGACATCTCGGATCTGGGCTCTGGGCAAGCAGCAGACTTCCCAAGACAACAGAAGACTTGTAAAATGTTTAAAAATTGCTATGAAAATTTCTAACTTTAGTGATTTTTAAATTAGAGGAGAAATGCATGTACTGGTTAGCTATTCTGATAGTTTTCTTTATGCCTGAGCATTTTATGTTACCATTTTTTCTAATGTACATTGTGCATTACATACAAGAACACGAATTACTATATTGACAGGTTGAATAGCCATCTTTTTCCCCTAATTTTCCTAAAAATTAATAGTAACAGTAAAATTTTGGGTTAGATAAGAAATGAGATCTGTGATTTTTGCTTTGCCTGCCTGTCTGTGGTATGGACCACTTTTCTAAATAGAATACTGTATACATTACAAAATTAAAATAAAATAAAATTTCTGGTGTCCAGTTGTCAAAAGTCTTATTGCCATAATGTTCAGCCATCGCAAGAGGTAATATTGATGATGATGGTAAGAGATGGATCCATGGTGGGGTAAAGTGGTGCAGATGCATCCCCCTTTGATTCCTGCTCCACCCTAACTTCCTGTGCAGGCAGTTCTGAGGGAGTCATCGACTTCATTCCACCAGGTTTATTAACCCTCTATTCTTTTTTATGGTTGTGATGTTCCACTATTCAAATTATCCTTTCTTCTGTAATGTTGTTGTCTGTTAACCATTCCTGGAAATGTTTCTCTTCTATTTCTGAGCCCCACAGACTGTTTTTAGCTCTGGCTAAAAAACTTAACTCAGATGTGGTACTATTAACTCAAGTATAGAAATGACTGACAGTGAAGTATTGGAGGAACTGTCAAAATGTTGAAGAGAGCTAGATTTTGTTTTATGAATCTGAAGACATGTCCATGCAACTAGAATGACTACAGGACTAATGACACAATTGTTTTTGACTGTTTTTTGTTTAGTTGTATTTTTTAAAAACTTTATATATGAAGCAAACTTTATATACGAAGCAAATGAAGCAAATTAGAGATTTGATTTTGAACTGAATAATACAGTGCTGGACCACTATCGTATTAGCAAAGCTTGTCAAATCTCTTCAACTGGACAAAAATGTGCTGTGTTATATATCTGTGCCCCCTTTTCAAAATCCTGGATACACCCACACTGATGGTCTTTTCTTCCTTGGTGGTCAAAGGCCTTGGTGGTCAGGAACAACTAAAAGATACTGCCATGTCTCAGTGCTGTTATATAGGGTACATCTGCACAGAAAAATGCAGTGCCATACAGAGACAACTGAGCAAAAGCTGAACAAGCTACCTGAGAAGTAATATGTTTGACTTAATGTGGCACACCACCAGGTTAATTAGCCCCAATGAGAAAGGAAGAATGTTATTTCTAGCTTATTTTCCAAAACGGTTGTCTGGTTCTTGCTTATCTGGGGAAAACCACAGTGAAGTGGGGAAAATAGGGAACTTGAATGGTTGTCCAGTGTGCAGGATAATGGATAGTACCACTGAGGGAGCAGTGATTAATTTTAGGTGTCTAGAGTGTCTACAATATTTGACAAGAAACCAGCTTGGTAGTTTTGTGCTAATGCCTTTGTTTCACCTAAAGTGCCTGAAAATAATATTTCAATGTTACCACTTACAGATGGCTGATTGTATAACTTGAAGCCTGTGTTTTCTGCTTTTCTGACCATAGCTAAATTAAATAAAGTCCCAGTCTTGCTACCTGTCCATTTTTTGGAACTCCACTTGACTTCAGTGAGAGTCCCTCTCATGGAGGGCTTGCAGGATTATGCCCTAAATAAATAAAGGCCGGCCTTATCTAAACTAACAGCAGCCTGGAGCACATTTTGACTAACATCACTTACAGCCTGGAGATGTGGTGGCACTTTTTCCTTTCCCCATTTATATCTGGAACTCCATTTAACTTTGCTCTGTACTAGTCAAAAACCAACATGCGAAGATAGTGAAACTACCCCAGACATCATCCTTCGCAAAGAAAACCCCTTCATGATGCAAGGGAAGGATTCTGGATCAGAAGATGAAATGATGTGCAGACTTCCTGACCTAGAAAAAGATGACTTTGCTGCTCGGAGAGCAAGAATGAATCAGCCCAAGCTTACAGTGCCCTTTAATCAGTTTTTATATGGACCGTATACCAATAAAGATAAAGGTAAACTGGAAGATGCTAAAAAGTCATCTCAGAAGAAAAAACAGGAATATGCAAGGTGTGCACATACTACCTTCTCTCTATTGTAGCAATTAATCCTATTTGAAATTGCTTGTTAACTGTGACAAATTTGGCCCACAACTTCAATAATGGGGCAGGGAAATATAAGCATCAATAAAATCAATGCAAGTGTAATGTTTATTAAAAAAACAAAACAAAACCAAAACCTCTTCTGTGTTTGCTATCTACAGTATATGAGAACCAGAAAATGAAATTAGGTAGGAACTAAATATAAACAAAAGGAAATAAATTACTTACTTTCATTGTTGGAGCCAAGAGAAATCTACCAATGGACAACATAAATAGTGATAAGTAAATTTAGAATTTATGTCTTAAGGCCATTTTTATTATATGTGATTTTTTTTTTTTATCTTGCTGTCTTTGTGTTTAAAAAAAAAAAAAAAAAAAGTATTAAAGTCCCAATTCTGCCACTGGTTATGTTTGTGCTGTACCCTCTGAACTAAGGAAGGTTGAGCCCATCTAACAAACTAGCCAATTGCCCATTGGCTCCCCCACCCTCTGTCTGCTCCTCAGTGCAGCTTCGGAATCATGGTGGCACTCCCCACACTTGGAGCACTTTGATTGGCTGTTTCCATCAGCCAGTCAGAGTGCGAATAAAGCATTATGGACAGGCAGACAGACAGACCAACTTAGGCTTTGATAATATTAGAATAGTAAACATTGTTTAACATTATTTTAGGAATGGATAGACAGAAAATAGCCTGACTGGCTCAAACCTAATAATTTTCCACATATTCTAATTCTACATATTCTGTTTTAAAAAAAGCTAAGCGTGCTATATCAGTTTCCGTTAGACAGTCATCTTCTGCAGAACACATGTATATCTGTTTTATTTCATGGTACACTGTGAAGCCATTATGGATACATAGATATGGTGTGTATACTATCATCTTTTCATTTGCATATATTTATACTCAACTTCCATATTGGTATTTAGTCCTAAATTTGAATTAGTACAGGTAGTAGCTGGAGAGTCTAGTAAGAAAATGTCTACCAAAGGTGTTCGCACTGTTAATAATCTCTAGTAGTTTGTTGTTTTCAGTCGCATAAAATGTGCCTTCTAGTCAGTAACAATACAGTCTGTTACCACTTACAGAGATCAGTTCAGCATGTAAGTAACATTTTGGAAGGATATCTGGAGAGCATAGAGCATTGGATACAAAGACTTGGAATCTTGCAAAGGTTATAGATGTTAGTACTAGTTAAAAGAAAAAAAATAAGCCCTGGTATGCTTAGAAACATAAAATGGGAATTGGGTACTGTAACCACATAAAGGAAATCTCATTACTGTACAAAATATCTTTGTAGTAACTGCAGATTTTCTGGGAAAAGCTAGAAGCTATAATCATGCAGTGTGTCCACAGAATAGCCTGGATGAAACAGTCCCAGATTCAACTGATTCCACGTTTGCCTAAAAAAATAAATAAGCTGTCTACTTTAGTCATCATTTCAGTTAGTGTTTTTATGCTCTGAACTTCCATTATTGACACTCCATTTATCATTGTCTACTTCCTCAAAATGGCTTCTCTTGCTGTTTTGGAATGTGCATAAAATTAGAGGAAACCAGATACATATGACACCAGCGAGCCAAATTGTGACACGTAAACAGAACCTATTCCTGCAATGTAAGGACAATGAGTCAGAGGAAGAAGAGCAGGTGAAAATGCCTGATATTCAGAGAGATGACCTGACTAAACGGAAAACTCAGAGTAACCTTTCTCAGCAGCAAGAGTCTCCAACGTTTATTAAAGCCTCTATAACACAAGCTGATTTGGAGACATGGGACAGACTGAAAACGTCAGGAGAGACCAGGTATGTTCTTTTCTATGGGTCGAATAGCAGCATGGAAAATATGTTAATTTTATTTGAGTCTCTCTTATCTTGAATATGCCATTGTTTCAACCTGTGTTTTCAGCTAGTGTTGAACATTCAAAAACAGATGTGTATATGCAGAATTAGGGAAAGCACTTAACTAAAGGTGTGTTTATGCAGGGAAATGGTTGAAAATAAGCTAGAGTGTGCATTTAAAGAGCTGTAGTTCTGCTGTGTTAAGTCCCTGTTTGAACAATCAGAGTGAAGAATAAGAAAATGCCTTTTTGACAGTTTGGAAATACATTGCTCTGAAGTAGGCTAAGATAAACTGCTCAAAGACATGTGCATAGGGCAGAAGAGCAATTCTTGCGGAATTTCCTTATGAAGACAAGCTCTAAAATACGTAGGCAATTCAAGATGCAAGTGATATGAATGCCTCACTTGCCTACTTTGGAGCAGGCTCTAGGATCATGGGAAAGTAGGGTAGAAAGGGACCTCACAATTTTCTAATGGAATGTACTTTCCTGTGCAGATATTTTTCATAGATTAAAGTAGTTATTGTGAGATTTCAGTCCTAATTAGGCCACTGAACAAATTGTTCCTTGGTCGCAGAGATAACAGTAGAGTCTTGTACTACTGCTTGTCAAATACTAGAGGTATGCTTCAAAGTAGACATCCAAGCCTCAACCGTATGCTGTGGTCAAGGTTTGAATATGATGTGCCTCATACCTTGGCAGTGTAAGAGTGATGTTGTAGCCATGATGGTCTAGACATTTATGCGAGAGGCAAGGATTTTTTTTAGGGTGATATATTTTATTGGACCATATTTGTAGTTGGGATAGAGTTAAGTAAACTGAGGAAGAATACCTTATATTTGAAAGCTTGTCTAACTTTATTCCAACTATGTAGTTTGTCCAATAAAAGAGAGCACGCTAAGAAATCCTTGCCTTTCTCATATCTTGCTATCTCATTCACAAGATTTTAACTTTTTCCAAATTGAAACTATGAAAGCCTGCCTAAGTAGTATTCTAGATTCAATTGGGAACTCGTACTTTTACAGCAAGGTTGGGATTCTGATGGTATGGACGCATACTATGTTTGTAGTGCTACTAAGCCCTAGCGCTAGCAAAAAGTGAGTATGTGGACATTCGTTCCATTTGTAGCATCACAAAAATAGTGGATCTGCCACAAAAATTCTCCGGGTGTCTGTGTGTGTGGGGGGGGGGCGGGGCCTGCAAAGGAATAGCCCCTATCATACTCTGGCTGGAGAGTGAACCTTTGCGAAGACTTTGTAGCAATCTAGCCATGGGGCTGTGCTGTGTGAACACCCCTATAGAGTTATACCTTTAGCACTACAAATGACCATGTGTTCATAATCTGAGTTTCAGTTAAGTCTCCGTGTTAATTTCTACCCTAAAATTTGACAAAGTTTATAGTCCATGTTCTATCCCTTGCCTCTCTGTTCCCTGTATTTCAGGGTAACACGTGGGCAGTGGTGTAACAAGAGGTGGGTGAGCAGGTATGAGGGGATGCAAGATTGATGGCCACCATTGCTGCCAGTGTACATCCACTGCCCCAGCTACTGTAGCTGCCCAGGGCACAGAAACTGCTTATTATGTCTCTGCTTTTGGATGGATGTTTTGAAGAGAAGAGCAGCCCCTGTTTCCATATACAAAGCAGTCATTATGTGGCCATCTACTATATAGTGACTGTATACCAGGGGTGGGCAAAATGTGGCCCAGTGGCTGGATGTGGCCCATCAGGCCATTCTATCCGGCTCACAGGGCCCCTAAAAAACTTAGAAAATTAATATTAATCTGCCCTGGGCTGCCTGTCATGTGGCCCTCGATGGCTTGCCAAAACTCAGTAAGTGGTCCCCTGCTCAAAATAATTGCCTGCCCCTCTACACTATTTAGGTGGACATAGTTACCCAAGTGCAACCATAGCTTGTTCATTGGAAGAGCTGTGTCTGTGTGTATCATAAACTTCACTTCATCATGCTCCCCAAAGTTTTCTTGAAAGAATGATGATACCTGTTGCCTTCCAGCTACTCTCACTGGACAAGGCACTGCTTTTATCTACATAGAATAACATTGGTGCTTCTGAAGTGAACTTGGGTTCATGAAAGCTTGTGCTCTATACAAGTGTCTTAGTTAGTTAGTCAATAAAGGTGAATATCTACCCTGCCTTCTCATTGGTACTCCTGACATGCAGTAAGATATCTGTACTTCCTTGATTTAAAAATGTAAGTCTTTGTCTTGTTGGTGAAGTGTTTGCTGTGGTCTTGGTTTTTGTTTTCTTTCTAATTTCCTTTGATTCTTTTGTTTCTGATGATGACTAGTAAAGAAGACCTTGTATGTCCCCCTGATCCTGAATCATCAGCTAAAATTGCAGCAGAAACAGCTGTTCGTGATGATTTTGCTACCTGCAAAGCCAGAGCTTACAAAAAGGCTTCTAGCCCTAAGCAGAGGTTTGTGCACTTTGGGCCAGTGACTGAGATTGATCAACAGAAATGGGAGAAGCTCAGCATTGCTAGAGCTGCAGCCAGTGATGAATCAGAAGAGGAAACTGGGAGGGAAAGTGCTACAGCTGAGATTTGGACTGAATCATCTCCATCAGCTACAGTCTGCAACCAGAAGTCCATTGGACATACTGCTGAAGTATCTAGGCCACAAAATGATCCCAGGTATTTTGTGTTATTTAGGAAACAGATTATTGAGTGTGAGATGAAGCCTTTCGTCACAGGATGCTGACTTGCATGGGGTACATTGCAGAATGTAGTTAAGAGCTATCTATGCATATCATCTTATTCAGAATTTATCTGATGGCTTCATAGTGTCTAAGAGATTTAAGATCGTGCATAGCAATATTGTGCAAGTTTATTTTGAAAACTCACACTGGAATTTCTGATTAGTAGTGGAATCACTAGTTCCACTGCGTATCTTAGCTGTTAGCCAATCTTCTGTTTTCTTGCATTCCACGAGCTTTGCGTAGTATGGTACTTGTGCATCTGAAGTCATAGAGCAACTCTCACTGAGGTTTCTGGCAATACGGATTATTTTTCTTTTTCTCTTGAAGACTGCCAGTTAAATTATTTTCATTTCAGAAATCTTTTGAAGCGCGCATGTTAAAAATCAAGCTGTACTGATACTCAGACCTTTGTTTGTTTGTTTAAACTAGAAAAGATTTATAATGTTGATAAATCAGAAATATTGACCAGAACTTACATTTTGCTTTATTTTTGCCTTTAGATTATCTAACCCTCGAGTCTGTTGTCATAGCAACTGTTGCTAGTTGATATAATTAGCAAATTATTCAGCTATGTTCAGCTATGTTTAGATATTTGGAAATGTTTGGAAAAAGATATCAAAACAAAATGCATCTCCCTCTTTACCTCTTTCTTCTGTTTCATTTTATCTGAGAATGTTTTTATTGTTCCTCTTCCCCCTACTCTCAATCTCGTTTTTACTAGTGAGGTAGCAAAGTCAGGTACAGATGAATATTGCAGCGGAACCCCATCATCTGTCTCAGCTGCTTGTGTCATCCCTCAGAAGCAAACTCTATGCAGATTGAGTGAAAGGCATGAAAGCAATGAGGAAGAGCTTGATGGGAGTTTGCCAGAAACTGAGAGAGATGATATGATGGTTAGAAGGATGGGAGCTTTTCAGAGGCATTCTAGTCCAATTCGTATACACAGTCCTCCCACATCAATGGGTCATCACTCGCTGCAGCAGCAAAAGAAGGTAGCTCATAAGGAAGATTTGAAGACTCTGCAGAAAGCAGAAAGGTCAGAGAATGAAAGCCAGCAACTGAGAGCTTTGCGCCTGCTTTGTGTGTAGTGCTAAGTGTGTCAGTCTGTAACATCGCCTTACTTAAAAACAAAAAACCCCCTAAAAGATGCATTTTACTCATTCTAATATTCAAGCAGCATGTGTTCAGTTCATGAAATTACTTACCAGAGTGTATCCTATGACCATGAAACAGCTTGTTTCTTTCATGATACATAAGAATCTTGAATTGCTAATACCATTTAGCATGAACGTGGCCTTCCATCTCTGGGGGGGTTTTTTTGCAGTCCATATCTTTCTCCATATTTTATGCAGGCTTCTGAATGAGTAATTACTTGCATACAAGCAAAGGGCATAAAAATATAACCCCTTGCCTGCTTAAAAGTGCAACATGTATTGTGCTATTCAGCATAGAAGCCTCTTGTACGCAGTTCCTGTTCTGCTGCTGCTGCTACAGATGTTAGTTTTCCATCATTTTTCAATTGTTTTCTGAATAATAGTGCCCAAAATTGCCTCAGCAGCAGTTTGCCCTTGAATTACACAACTGAACATTGTCATGGAACACTTTCACCTGTCCCTATGGGCTGTACTGTAACAAGAGAAGAGAGCCATGTGAAGCTGAAATATCATGATCCTATTAGTGGTGGAACAGAACACAAAGTGAAATTTCCAGACCCTGAGAAAGATGACATGATGGCCAGAAGAACCGGGGCTTTTCTAAAGCGTGCTGGACCGAGTGCTAACCAGTTCCTTCCAGTTCCATTTTCAAAGCAGCAGAATAGCCAGGGCACAACTAAGGAATCTGTAAAGACTGAAAGGAAAGTGAAGAGGTAAGCAAGTCCATTCTGTACCGCTAGTTCCTTTCCTCCTTGTATTTGCACATTGGAGGTAGGTCTCACAGTTGGCTGACATGTGTTGTCATATCATTTCCCCAGGTTCATTAGATAGGATTTATTAGAAAATCAAAAGAAATGGAAAGAACAGAAAGCCTTGTATGTTGGCTCCCTTTGCCTAAAAATTTACCTTATAGGTTGACTGTTCTTATACTTACCCAGTGTCCTTGAATTTTCCTTTAAAGCAACTGGAACTGTCTCAGGTCCAGTGTGGTGATTGCTGTAATCTAGGAGTGTAGTATAGGTCAGGGCTGTCCAACTGGTGGCCTGTAGGCTGCATGCAGCCCACAAGGTGTTAATTAGTGTTTCCTCCAGGTTCCTCCTTCCCCTCCTCCTCCCACCCCATCACTGCAGGTGCAACAGTAGATGGGGGTCTCTGGGCTGCACTTCCTTTCCTCAGGTTTCTTCCTCTGAAGCTGTACAGCACAGTGAAACCCTTGCTGCCGGTAGGGCCTGTGGCCCAGTTTGCTTGCACAATGCAGTGCAGCAGGGGACACATGCAGTATGCAGGGGGCGGGGGAGCCTGCGTAGTGTGCAAGGGAGCTGTTGTGCAGCGCGCAGGGTGTGGCAGGCTGTAGCTTTTATTGGTGTGCCAGCACAGTGTGAAGCCTCTGGCTGCCTAGGAGTTGGATGGCCCAGGTATAAATTATTTGGAAATAACAGTCTAATGATGGCCATTATTTGGAACTGGAACACTAGAATCTGGGGTAGTAAGAGATTAAAAATAATAATTAATAAGCATTTCTGAACCTCAGCTCTCTCCCTGGTAAGGCAAGACCTTTCCTGACTGCAGGTGGGCTAGCTGGTTAATCTGCTTTGGAATTCTCTTGGGGTTTTGACTGGCTCTTGGAAGCAAATATTCTTTTTCCTGTGCTTGTTGCTGTAATGCTGGAGTCGTCTGTATCTTTGGAATCTCAGAACAGTGCAACCTCCCCCTGGGGGGAGACAGCTTTCCAGGGACTCCCTGAATATCTCTCCCCTTGCTCCCATTAGCTTCCAAACTTTTGCTCTCTTCCATAAAATCAGACAGCACCATCATTAGTTAACTACATAGGGGTTGCACATCCCTGGCTTGTTACTGGTCCAGTACACTGCTTGTCTAACCTACCCAATGCAGTAGTATCTCTCTCTTTGCCCCAAAAGGGACTACTAGTTTTGTCTGTTCTTATCCTGGCTCCAAGCTTGCTGGGCAAGGAGTCAGGAGGCTCTGTAGTAGCCATTTTAGTGATGGCCTTTTTGGTAGAGAAACTAGAGGTACAGGCAAGAATTTTAAAAACCAGGTGGACAAGTGAGTGGAGTGGGTTGGAAAGGCTGGGGGTAGAGTTGGGGGGGTGGGGTTCAGTAATAATTGTCTCCAGTTAAATTACAATTAATTACTTGAGCACATTTTGGGAAAGTGTTTTTTTTAGGTGCTAGGGAATTAGGAATGAGATTACTGTGTCCACTGATTAGAGAAGGATAGATAATAAATGAGATGGCTTGGTATCAGGTACCAAAGAGAAGAGGGTCTAGGGTTGGTTCTCCTGTAATTGGGATTGGAGCCTAATTAAGATTGGAGAAGTGGCTCCAGATGGGCAAGGCTGCATGGAAAGGATGGAGACTGGACAATAGTTTTCTCTCCTGTCTGATCAAGTGTGACCCAAAACTGAATTCTGAAGAGATTTGCAGTTCAGCTCCTGGGCAGTGGTAAAAAAAAGCAGAGCTTGCACATGAAAAAGGAAGGATAAGTATACAAGAGAAGAAAAAATCACTGCATCAGTAGATGGTTCCCATTTCCCAAGTTCTGTCCCCATGTACTGCAGACTTTGTTAGGAGAAGAAAAGTTTGCTTGTTGCCGGGAGCGGGGTGAGTGGGGTGTCTGCATTAGTGTGCCAAACCCAGCACACTATGCAGCCCTTCCATGCAACTGGAGCCCCAGGGCTGGCAGGAGATACTGGGAACTGGGCAGGGAGTAGTTACATGAAGGATCAGCATCCCTTTCCTGCACCTGTTCCCTGCCCTGCCCTCCACACCCAGGGTCCCCCTCTGGCTCCACTTGCACCTCACCCTCATTTTCTACCATAGTCTGAGGGGTAGCATGCTTCATCTTGCTTTACAAAATCCTAGATCTGCCCCTGCTGTTTGCAGTGGGATTGTGTAGTGGTTTGAGACCAGAAGAACTGAAGCTAGAATAGATTACATCTTCTGGCTAGAGCACAAGAACTGAAAAAGAAACAATTAAATATCTAAATTGAATTGTTTATGCCCTTAACTCCTTAGTTTGCAGATGTGTACCTACTTGTTACTTTCTAGTCCGACGCATGCAAAATACAGCCTGCAGGCCAGATTTGGCCCACCAGGCCATTCTATCTGGCCCACAGGGCCCCTCTGAAAAACAATTATTATAAGCCTGCGGCTTCCTCTCTGAAAGCTGGCAGGAGGCAGGCGGGGGGGGGGGAT